GTACATGGGAAGTGTCATAGAGAATTTTGCAATTTACCTTTGCCAGATACTCTTCTTTTCCTGCATATAGCATGGACGCATCATAATGCCACCTCCGTCAGCAGCTAGTTTCGGCCACTGGCTGCCAACAGCTAACGTTAGGATTTGTTGTTCACAATGTGGCATTCTCGGGGAAACATAAATGTGTGTCCTCTGATGTGTCCATTGGGAGTTTACTGCATCCGTTTGTCCCGATGGTGTAGGACAAAAATGGAAAGATCTTGTTCATAGGGAAAAAGTTCTCTGTTGTCCCCCCCTGCTGGTGCCGGACATGAAAATGATGTCAGAAAGATGTTGGACTCCCACACTGGACAGAAATTTTGGTAGGAATAAACACAGGGGTTTACGATATCTTAAATGTCTAACGAAGTCAGAATTTCACCTTGTGTGGACTGTAACATTATGATGTTTTGCAGATGATTGATTTTGTTCTTTAGGACTGAATGTCGTTATTCTACGTCAAGATGATGTTGGCATGAGATGTTTGGAAGGCGCTGGATTTAAGTTGCTTAAAAACACTTTAAATCAAGAAAATATCAACATCATTCGTTGTCAGTATTCTACATCGATTGCCTTTGACATTGAATGGGTGAATGTTGGTCACCAGACATCACAACCTAAATTCAATCAAATATCAATGTCAAAAGAAGCCATTAGTCTGGAGCTCTGCTTTTTCGCCTGTGTAAAATTGATGTGACACAACAGAAAAACATCAGCCACTGGCATCAGTGATTGTCATCTTATGTTCTGATTGGCCGATGGCAGTCAACAAGGCCGATACTGATGTGCGGCCGATAAATTGGTGCGTCCCTAAGTGGTTGTTGTATTTTAACATGTAAAGTGTGCAGAGACTCTTTGGGTGTTGTTCTCTCTAAATAAAGTGAAGTTGAATCCTCACAGTCACCAGCGTTTGAAGCTCCAACACATGCTGTATGTTTGGTGGTATTAAAACTGGAGTGTTGACGGCTGTCTTTGAACTACAACAGATATTGTCTTGTTATTGTTAATCTGTCTCTGTGAGCTTGTCTCCTCACTGACACTAATTCCGATTATTAATTGATGTCTTGTAACGCTGCTGATTTGTGCGCCGCCCTGAATAAAAGCAGCAGATAAACATCTTGTGAAGCAGAAGCTCTGCGCAGCGGTGAAGGGGTTAAAGGATGTGGGGAGTCGAAGGGCTCAGAGCAGCAGACAGAAGATGAGGTATTGACGTCCGTCTCCTGGAGTCAGGGCTGCAGTGGAGCGGGGGGGGAGGGGGGGGTTAGATAACTAGCTAGGGGCGGTGGCGGCGGTGGCTGGGTGGCCATGACGACCGGGTCGGGCTCAGAGGATTTGGGAGGTGGATGTGCCTGCAAGCGGCGGCTGCTGCCACGCTCCGTCAGCTTCTTTAGTTCTGCTCTGATCCATAGAAGGAATTATGTGCATTTCAAATCCCTGTGTCTGTTGTAAAATGTATGAGGGTGAGGAACCTGAACACAACATGGCCGGGGTCGACTACAAACACACACACAGAAATATATCAACAGAGCCAGATAACACAGCGTGGACACACACACACACACACACACACACACACTTGAGACTGAAAATGTTTCGTCTGGCCCGAACACTGCAGAAATGCTTTAATTTGCATTTGTGTTTGTTGCCAGGCGGAGGTTTTAAGACTTCTGGTTGTCGTTCAGCGTAATCCCAAATTGTCTGGGTATTAAAAATTGGGGCTTTCTGAAACCTGCAAACAGGAAGCAGAACACACACTCAGAGTTGATCAGCAGCATTTGTGGGCCTGCAGGCTCCGAGCTGCTGATGGATGTGGCTGCTGGTTGGACTTAATTAGCCATGAACATCCTGCAGCCTGCCGCAGCGGGTTGCTCAGTCTGTACACCCTCACAGGGCCGAGCAGGTTTCTTTAACATGTTTGGATCACGTCTGGTGGATTTAAAAATTGTGCTGAATCAGTTTGAAAAGTCAGTTTTTTAGACATCTACATTACTCAGCTGTTGTGTGAATACTTGGCTATTTGTTGGTGGTTTCTCGCCCTTTATGTGCAGATGTTTACTGCACCTGGACTGTGTCTTAGCTGGGTGATGGCTATTATTGTCTGGTGACAATTGTAGAGGCATTATGTTCTCAGGTTTTCTGTCCCATTCTTGTGATTGCTGCATCTCAAGAACACCTTAAGATAAATCTTCAACTTTGGCACAAACATCCACTTGTACTCAACGATGAACTGATTCGAATTTGGTGGTCAAAGGTCAGTGTGACCTCAAAAACTTGTTCTTGGCCATATCTGAAAAACATCTTGAGGGAAGCTCTTCAAATTTGGCACAAACGTACACTTTGAGTCAAGGATGAACTGATTAGAATTTAGTGGTCAAAGCTGAAAGAAAAGTCACTGTGACTTCATCTGTTGCGTTGTCATGAATGCAATGTATCAAAAAGACATTCAGGGAATTTCCTCAAATGAATGACCTGATTAGAATTTGGTGATTGAAGGTCAAAGGTCAAGGTCACTGTGACCTCACAAAAATGGTTTTGGCAGTAACTCACGAATTTATACACAAATTATGACACAAGTTCACACAAATGTCTAACGGGATAAAATAAAGTGATGACATCCAAAAGGTCAAAGGTCAACTTCACTGTGACATCATAATGTTCTGCATAAAACACTTTTCTTTCCATTACTCAGTGTCATATCTCAGGAACAGAAGGAGAGACATTTAGTCAGATACTGAATTAGTGACTCTGTTTGAAACTTTAACGTTTTAAAATTAGTAGTGGTGTACCAGCATATCAGTTTATGTTTTATTGAAACCAGCTGAACCAGCATTTCTCATCATGACATGTTCTGGCAAACAAAAAAGTAGCCTATATCAGCAATCTGTACCCACGGCGTCACAGCGCTAAATCCAACTCGTATTGCATTAGAAATAAGCAATATGCCAATGTGATTAAATTAATATTAGGTTTCTAAACAAACTGACTGCAAGCAATGCGGTGCACTGCTCTGAGCTGATTTGTTGTTGGATATCTTGCTTGTATTTATTCCTCTCGCTTTGAAAGTGCTGCAATAGATGACGCACGGCTGATTCATCAAGTTGAAATAAGGAATTATCTTCACCAACAAAAACCTAAATAAGGTGGCAGCTGGATGGAGCGACATCTTCAGGGAGCTGAAAACTTTTAGTATATGACCATCGCTAATAAGTGGCTGTTGGCTAAATATCACAATTTAAAATATGTGTTTTCAATTTAAAAGTACAAACATAAAAAGATAGTAAGTGCTCACCCATCTTTTAAGTGGTCACGTCTCCAGTCTGATCTCGAGTGAACGGCTGCTAGCTACGTGGTTTGTTCACATGACGTAACAGAAGTGCATATTTAATGGATTCAGTGTGGAGGAAAGCTCTGAGGTCATGGGATGTGATAGTCAGAGGTTTGTTTGCTGTTGGGACATGATGTCATTACATCACATTGCGGAGCAGCTGCTGTGTCATGTGCGATGTATTGTGGTAAAATTCTGTACATCAGTCCGGTCCAGTGTTTGGCTTTATATCAAACCGGTTAGAAAATGGTTACACCGGCCCAACCCTGCGCACAGGTTCAATATATATTCAATTCAGATTCATACAAATGCTTTTAAACCCCAACAGTGGTGAAAACAAGACAAAAATAACAAAGACTTTAAAGGGCTGAAACACTTTCTAAGAATAAAATCCACATTTTGAACAGAACAAAGAGGGAAAATCAGCCTTGAGTAAAAAAAACAGCTTTGTTTTCCCTCTCAAATTTGAATAACCTCATTCCAAACACTTTAATGCATCAATAATTTAAAACTCTGAAAGGAAAGTGACTTGGAATGTTTTCCATTGTGGTGTTTCTCCTCTTACTTCCGATGTCTTCCAGCCCTGAGAATTGTTATTTTATTTTATTCTTCCTTGAGTGTCTGAAGGTTAGTCTTCCTTCTGTCCTGGTTTCACTGAGTCTGAGCTGGACGTTCTCATCTCTCCATCTCTCCGTCAGCAACCGAGCTTCAGGGGGTTTTGTGGCTGGTTGTTACTGCGGCCAGCAGCGGCCATTTTTAGGAGTAGGGGAGGTCTGCAAACAGTAATTACAGGCCATTACACTGCTCTTCAAAGCCCACTCAGCTGTGTGTGTGACACTTCAACCAGCACACACACACACACACACACAGAGGAATCTGTGGCTTTTATCTCAAAGAAAATGTGGATAATTTAAGTCGGCTGCACATTTCTGAGCTGTGGAGGCCTGTTATTATCAGACAGGACATGACTCCTTTCACAAGCTGCTAGAGCTGTGTGTGTGTGTGTGTGTGTGTGTGTGTGTGTGTGTCAATGTCGTTCAGGTTTCAGGATTTTGCCCTCAGATGTGTTTCCAGATAAGAAAATGCTCCTACAGCCGCGATCCATAACCGCAAAAATAAGAGTCAACTTGTTGTAAACTGGACTCATCCTGTCACAGTGATCAGAGTCTGGCAGGTACGACACTGAAAAACAAAAGCTGACTTGTACCTTGCTCATTAACGATGTCTCCAACCCAGCGATCCTCCCTTTGAGGATTGTCACATCCCAGATTTGTGTTCAGTGAGCCGGCCTGTTATTTCCCCGGTGTAAACTCACCTGTAGTTCAGGTGTCTGCTGCTGTGACATGAAGCCTTATTGCTCCGTCTGATAAACAGTCATCTCCTCCGATGTGCTTTGCTGTGAAATGTGTCCGTATATTCTCCCTGCAGCTCTGCTCTCTGTCTGCCTTTATTGTTCATAAACTCATAAACCTGTCCGTGTTTTATTCCGAGTGAATGCGTGATCAGAGCCAGGATGTCAGAATTTTACTGGTGATACTTGTGGAGGTGTTTCAGGTCTGATATTGATCTACCAGCTCACCGTCTGCCTTTCATTTAACTCTGTATTTAACCCTGTGCGTCTCTCTCTCTGTTGCAGATCTGTCAGAGAAGAAGAGCGACCTGAGGGTTTGTGATGACTCCACCTGCCGATTAGGAGGCGTCTGCAGAGACGACGGCGCTCAGCTCAAATGTGTCTGCCAGTTCCAGGTAGGAAACGATGATATGAATCTTTTCTTTCCCCTTAAATCTGGTGCTTCTCTGTATTTTCTTATTGTCCACAAATCTGTGGCTGCTAGCTCCAAGCCCATTGGCTCCTACTGAAGATGGAGATCTTTTAAAGATTGTCCTGAAACTGGTTAGTGTAGTTTTTATCAAACTAACAGGAGGAAAGAGTGCGTTTGTTGGGGACTAATTTCAGCGACAGATTAATCCACATTTGGTGCTGGAGTCTTTGGGGATTTGTTCAAGTGATGTATTGCCCATATTATACAGGATCATCTGATAACAGATGTGTGTTGTGATGCACACACACACACAGACACGTGCGTGCACACACACAGATGAGCACACTCCCACCAGCGGACAGAGAGCGCGTTGGAAAATATGTCGCGTCAACCACCTGAAAAGCAGAAATAAATATCTGCATTTTTTTAAACGATGGTGAAGAAGAAAATGTTCTGATGTTTAGTTCAATGTAGAGTTCAAATAATTGTTCAGTTGTTATATTGACTGCTGTCATTAAGAGAAACACATGAACACCATGATTCCTTTAAGTGTTTGTGTCGTTTGGTGCCAACCACGACGGCAAACACAACAAACCTTTTCCATCACCTGAAAAGGTGGCGTCCCAGCGACTACACCGAGAGCATTGAAATCCGCCCAAACTGCAGTAAGTCCACCAACAAGTGTTCAACGGCTGAGCACTTCTGCTGCTGTGGGGCGGCACCAAAACACCAATCAGTAGTGTCCTCTTTTGTCGGTGTAACCCCATTTGAGAAGCGATGGAAAAGGAGCAGAGACATAACAGACGCAGTGTCGTACTTTCTAGCCAAAGACATGATGCCCATGAGCACCGTGGAGAAAGACGGGTTCAAGAAATTAATTAAAGTGCGAGACTGCAGATACGAGCTCCCAGGCAGGAAATACTTTTCTAAGACTGCTCCACCCCAGCTTTACGGCAAGCGCCGCGGGAAGCTGGAAAATCAGTTGGTGTCTTCAGGTATCAGACGTGATCAGGATACTTTTCAAACTCGCAGCATTAGCAAATTATATATTGTGATAAATATCAAAAGCGATTGAAATTGTTGTGATGATATTTTTTGCCATATCGCCCAGCCCTACATGGACGTGAACTGTAAGAGAAACTTGACCTGTGCACGTAGGCATCTGACCAGGGGCCGGTATTTCTAGTTTGTAAAAAACAAAACAAAAAACAAAACGGACATCCGGAGGGAGCTCGGAGTAGAGCCGCTGCTCCTTCGCGTCGAAAGGGGTCAGTTGAAGTGGTTCAGGCATCTGATCAGGATCCTCCTGGGCGCCTCCCACTGGAGGTGTTCCAGGCATGTCCCACTGGTAGGAGGCCCCGGGGCAGACCCAGAACACACTGGAGGGATTATATACCTCATCAGGCCTGGGAACACCTCGGGGTCCTCCAGGAGGAGCTGGAAAGTGTTGCTGGGGAGAGAGACGTCTGGGGTGCTTTGCTTGGCCTGCTGCCCCCGCCACCCAGCCCCGGATAAGCGGATGAAAATGGATGGATGGACAAACAGAAAAAACAGACCAGAACTAAAAGGCACCTATGGATCATTGTCTTGCTTCTGATCCACATGAACCAACCTGCAGGTATGAGACAGCCCTTAATAAGCTTTTATGGGCTCAAGACAAAAAAACAGATTAAGTTCCTTCATCAGGAAACACGCCCGTGCTGCTGTGTGTTCCTCTGATATTAAAACTAAGTGTAATTGCTCTCCAGGCAGCATGTTGTATTTGTTGCCTATTTGTTTGAACAACACGACAGCGTGAAGGGCAGCGTCAGGAGGAGCGATTCACCACAGAACTGCTGCTTTTCTGCAATAACAAGACTCACAGATACAGTTTGAAACCAACCGTCACGCTCTGTGATCTCAAAGCAAAACCTGCATTTGTTACTCGTGTCCACACAAACAGGACGGAGCTGTTGAACATGATCAGAGGAGCCAGACGGCAGCTGAATACAGAAACAACAACCAGCAGAGTATCTCAGATCATCACAGGAAGGACAAGATGAGGGGCCGAGCAGAGGACAGGCAGCACTGTCACAGCTTCAATAAAATACTCCGACTGTCCAGCTGCTTAGAATCCAGATGAAAGAAGCTCCGAGTCGATCAAAATGTTGAATCACTCACCTTCATCACCTTTTAATTATCACTGTGAGCTCACAGCAGCTTCAGGAGGAACAGAGAGTCCTTTGTGGACCCTGTGGGCTTCGGCTGACCTTTTCCCTCATTGGTGGAGATTACATGGTTAATGACTTTCTGTTTGGACGCTGCCACAGATGGATTCTTAGGAGCACACTTTGACATAAAGGAGAGGTGTCACACCTCCACAGAGCTGGTGGACTAAAAAACAATGGTCACAATCAAAGCAGCAGGAAATATACTGTATGGCGCATTAGCCTCTAGTTTCAGTAAAAACACTGGATCCTAGATTTCCCTGGTAACATCATCAGGGTTATTTCCTCCTCCAGACATTATATTTACCAGCCCAGTCGCCAGAAGAAAGTTTTGCAAACCATGAGAACATTTACACATATCATACGTATCATATCGAAGTTTCTGAAGTGACGTAGTACCTGACCTGACTTTGTCACCGGCCCTAGTTGTTCCAAACATTTATTCTGGATAAGAATGATCCAGATTTGGAAATCACATCATGAATATGTAACCCTTTAAGATATCGGTTTCAATCGTCCCCACTACAGAGATAAGTCCTGGGTGTGTTTAGCTTAGCTTAGCACAAAGACTGCAAGCGGCGGGAAAATGCTAACATCATTAAATATAAAGAATACACCATCAATCAACTCACAGTCTGTCTGAGACACTGAATGATCTGTGACCATCTTATTTTCTTATTTTAGTTCATCTGTTCCCAGCAGACTCACTGCTGAAACATATTCTGTTTGAATGCATTTTTATTAAGAAGCTCAAAGTAACTCAACACAGACACACTGGGGTCTACTGTAGAGTTTAATGACATTATACTGCTGTGCCATGGGAATATGTGTTTTAGCTCGGAGCCTCAAAAATCATTTTGGTTGTAAAACACTGCTGCTGAAGAGTTTCATGAGATGAGATGGGATGAGATGAGATGAGATGAGATGGGATGGGATAGGATGAGATGGGATGAGATGAGATGGGATGAGATGGGATAGGGTGAGATGGGATGAGATGGGATAGGATGGGATAGGATGAGATGGGATAGGATGAGATAGGATGAGATGGGTTGAGATGAGATAGGATGAGATGAGATAGGATGAGATGGGATAGGATGAGATGGGATAGGATGAGATGAGATGGGATGGGATGGGATAGGATGAGATGGGATAGGATGAGATAGGATGAGATGGGATGAGATGAAATGGGATGAAATGGGATGAGATGGGATAGGATGAGATGAGATGGGAGGGGATAGGATGAGATGGGATAGGATGAGATGAGATGGGTTGAGATGAGATAGGATGAGATGGGATGAAATGGGATGAGATGGGATAGGATGAGATGAGATGAACCTTTATAGATCCCAGAGGAGAAAATCAGAACAAAGGCAGAAATGAGTACAGATACATAGAGAGAGGTAAATGATAATAATGATTAAGTAGAGAGCTGCTGCAACAGGCTGCATACCACTCAGTAACTGATTAATATTAATAGTGTTTAAATGCACCTGATGAGAAGACATGATCACTGCAGGAAGCACAAACATGTTGCTACCATGTTGTGAGAGGACAGTTTGTGCTTCAGCGTCTCTGTTAGATCTATTTTTCTGCAAAATGCTGATGAAGCAGACTAAGTAGCAGTCTGACAGGACGAAGCCTCACTTCGTCAAATCTAAACAAAAACTTCTCACAGCTGGAGTCTGGGATGTGAAGGAGACAAACTGCCAAAGCCGAGCATGAGCAGCTTTGAAGATAACAAGCAAAAGGACGTCCCGCTGCTCAAATCCAAACTCTCTCTGAGCTCATGAGTCTGTCCTCTCGACTGATCGCTGCTCAGTAGTTTAGTCATTAATGTATTTCTATGAAGAAGCATCAGCAGACAGGAGTTGTTTCTGCCACATGTGAACCTGAACTGAGTGTCTGTGCAGTGCGTGCTGGCTGTGCAGAGGTCACAGAGGTCGGCTCTGCAGGGGATTCCTGCTAGATGATTGATGGCTGTGAGTTAATAGAATATGGATTGTGAACACTGATATGTGTCCTTGGCAGCTGCAGTTTGTATCTGACAGCAGAGTCAAGTTATTTTGTGCTAACCTTCATGAAGAGTGAATGACATCCTGATCCTCCTCTAACTGCTCAGCTACTCGTCTTTTACCCTCAATAGCTTGTTTTCAGTTTTAATTCTGAAGCAGGCTTTTCAGCGGACAACTAGACTGTAATGACCTGATCTTCCTCCTGTCTCACCTTTAAACTTCCTCACTGGCTTCAGTCTGACATCATCTGTAGGCTTACTCTTCATACCTTTCATCATCTCAGTGTTTTCTGAGTGCACTTACAGTTATTTTGTTGGTGCTGTTCTGACTGCCTGAAGTGTCGTGCTGCAGAGAGAAACTAATTAGGGTTGGGGGGAAAAAATGGTCCCTACATGCATCGCGATGCAAACCTGGAAAATTCGGCATCAATTCACAAATCTCAGTAATTGATTATCTAAACGTTTATTAGTAATGTGATGTTGATAGAATGAAATAACTTGTGATTCATCTTCACAAAAGGCAGCATTTGTAAACTTGTTTTAATTTAATGTCCAAATGATTACGTTTAGAAGACAAATGTGAAATATATTGTGAATACTTACTTGGGCATCACTCAGAGATGTCTCGTCTCCCCCTCATTTTGTTAAAGGGACCTGGACAAGAGCCACACTGTCTGCAAGTTAACTCATCTGGTTATTTGATAATGGATCATTAGCCATTTGTCACACAGTGAGAAAAATAAAAAAATATAGAAATCAAATTTTTGATGCATTGATATAATTATCATTGAATAGTTGCCCACTGAATCATTATTGAATCTGGCCATGTGTTGCCTGGAGATTCCCACCACTAAATCTAAATATTTGTTGGTGTTGTTTTGTTTGTCAGTGACTTCCAGCGTCAAACAGACAAAGTAAGAAGATATGCAGCCAGGCGCCATTATTGTTTAATGGCGCTCAGGCGGAAATGTGACAGGAAAAAAACTAAAGTTAATGTGGCGTAAGTCTGAGTAGGGCAGGCGGGAGCAGTGGTGGATGGGTCCAACAACCACCTACATTCTTCCGGGGGGCTGGTGTTCGCTTCCCGTAACACTGTAAAGCCAAACTCTGTTTGTTTTTTTCCTAAACCCAACCACATGCATTTGTTATTGAAGGAATAAGACGTCAATTTGCAGTGTTGTACCAGCGTAGTGTGTTTATTTTGAAAGAGACTGTATGCCAGCTGTACATTTCCTGAAAAAAGAACTGAAGAACACACAATGCATGTAACAGGCTGAAGTTGACACAGCGTCCCAGAACATCAACAACCAACACACCCAGGGTACCTTGGACGTCTTATCTCGACATGGAAAGTCCATGACCAAATGTCAATATGTGACGAGGTCGCAGTGAGAATGTGTTGATATAATCCATCACCAGTTTGATTGGTATTCCCTGGATTGCACACAAAAGATGGAAAATAAACAAAATCAGAGACATCTGTTTTTGGAACAGAACACCTCATGTCATAAGTACTATTCGGACGGGATTAGTTTTACATAGGGATGTGGACTAATGTCAGTTTACCACAGGATGTCTGTAATATAAATGTCCGATTCGCACGGACATTTTCCGAAATCCGAAATTTTACCACAGATGGGAGTGGTAACTCGGTTTGTGCCCTTGCGTCACCTCCCTGTCGGCATGTGCATGCTACGTTGCTTCCTGTAAGCATCAGATGAAGGATAATAATAATTAATGATTAGCCCAATGTGGATTTATATTAGGCCTACCTAATGTAGTGTAATGTACTGATTTACTGAAGAGTTATACTGTACCTTTAAGTTGACCTTTAAAAGATACGTGTTGAAGCAATGTACTCTGTGCAACTGACAAATCACACACTGGGTTATTATTTCATGTATTCTTATGACACACACACACTCATTGAGCACTTAAGCATTGTGGTGGAGAAATACCTAGGATTCACTGTGTATCATTTCTAAATGAGGATGGGCTCAGAAACCACTGGTGGAAAGTTAGGGAAATTCCAGCTTGTCCTGATATGACCCTAGAGGAGGCGGGTCTTAGACTGCCCAGAAAAACATTACACGGTGGAATTGGCTCCAAGGGAGAAAAGGAGAGAGGGGAATACTATTATGTACGAGTGCAAGTAAAGAGGCGGCCATCAGGGGGAGACAAGAGAAATGTGACACCGTTATGTTTCAGCTCCAAGGGGGAAGGACTAAAGAAAAAGTGGAAACTCAGCAGAAATGTGACACCGTTACGATCAGAGCCAAGTGGGAAGGATTAAGAAAAAGACGACTCAGCAGAAATCTTCACAATAAAAGCGAGTGCGCAAACAAAGATATTCCAGTCTTGCTCTGGAGTTTGACTCATTGAGTTGTGTTGTGCTGATGCCTGCGTGCACAATTAAACTCAGTTGCATCTGATTCTACGTGTCTCCAGTGATTTTTGACTTCTGAGCATTTGAGTTTTTGATATTTAATAGAAACAAAGAAAGTTTGTTCGAGAAGAAGGGAACGAGGTCGCGAGCTTTCTGGCCCAGCTCCAGACCTTCAAATTTATGTTTCTACACTAACACAACCAGAAGTCTTGTGGCTCTGAAAAGTGCTTTCTTCTTGACCTTTTTGATTGGTCTCCCATGTAGGGCTACGCCATCATTACAAGAATGTCCACATCTTTTCAGAAAAGGCCCTGGTGCGTTCCGGAACTAATTTGCATGGGTCTAGAACTTTTCACATCTAAAAACTACATACAGTATTGGCTGATGTCACTAGTGTTGCAGGGTGGAGTACCGTAGTACTACAGTGCCTCACGTACCACTACTGTGGGATAAGTTCAAAGTCCAATCGCAAGAGGGTGAGTGTCCATGCGCTGTCCAATAACGGTGCAGGCTGGCCACCTGGCACTCAATATGCTGCTGTAGTGGTTTGTTTTCCAGACATGTGAGTATCTTTGAGCAGTGAAAGTTATTATTTATTTCTTTTTACTTGTCGGCAGTGATTTGTTTTCCACAGAGCTCTACGTGAGAGCATTTTACTCGCGTTTGTGACTAAAAATAGTTTTGTGCCAGCAAAATAAATCATTCAGCACGCAGTGCGAGTCCAGATTTCAACCAGCAGCAGAAACAAAAGGCGAATCCTGCCAGTTGTGGGTTGAACGGGGGTCACAGACAGGAATACGGCGGTCAAATAGCCTACGTCCAACTCCAGGTCCAGTAGCCTAATTTCCTCTTTCGTTGGCGTCATGACTGCCCAGTAGTACCTGGACAACCGAGCCGTGGCGGCACACAGGTATGTGACATGTCAGAGGAGAAACGAGCCGTTCACATTACTCTTTGTGGCAGGTAACGGTCCACAAACCTCACCGCACTTTAGGGACTGTTCTTTACTTATGAAGGGACTGTTCTTTACTTGTCAGGGGAGGAGGGTGGCTGGTTGATTCTTATTTTATTTATTTTATTTTATTTTGATCCCCCCTATGTTAATCACTTATTGATGCTGTTTTTGAAGTATGAATAAGTCAATAAGTAATTTATTCCATTGAAATATCATTGATGTATTATAGAAAAATCATTTATCTTTTTATAAATGACAAAAGGCACATCTGCCTCATTTTTGCTGTGGTATCCTGATACTACTCAGAACCGTGATACTTTCACTGGTATCATACCGTGGGTCCCAATTTTGGTACCGTGACAACACTAGATGTCACAACCATTCCATTCGGAGTTGCGCAGTGAGGCGGCTCGGGTGCCGCTTTAAAAAGTGTTCCCCCACTTTTGGGAGTGGACGAACACTGCTCTCTCAGAGGCCCAAAGTGTTCCCCTACTTCTAATTTTACAAATTAAACACTGTCATTACCCCACGTCTCCACGTTAAACCAATCCCGTCCAAACAGGGCTTTATATGTGGAACAACATTTTTTAAAGCATGAGGGATTGTCTGATTTTTGCATTGTCATGGTTTGGTATTTTGAGAGGTCTCAGAGTCCGCCACACGCAGCAGTCAGCACGCTTTATGTGAGAAGGCTCGAGGTGTCTGGAGGTTAAGATAAGACGAGGATCTTGGTGATGTTCCAGAGCCCAGTGGTAAACAGTCTGGACCCAGGGTTACGTTTTGTTTTGCACCCTGGTGGCGTGGTTTTATGTGATTCTATGAGACGTGAGAAAGACTGTATAAAGCTGAGTAATGTGAGGTACTTAAAGGTCCAGTGTGTAGGATAGAGGGGGATATATTGCCAGAAGTTTTTCTTTAGTGTATGATCACCTGAAAATAAGAATCATCGTGTTTTTGTTACCTTAGAATGAGCCGTTTATGTCTACAGAGGGTGCAGGTCCTCATTTACAGTGATCCCCGTGTTGCACTGACATGTCTCTACAGTAGCCCAGATTGTAGGAAACATATATAATTGAAAATCATCAAAGTGACCTTAAGTTTTCTACATCAACATGCTGTATGGAGTCTATTCTGACTTTAACCTGAGAACTCTAAACTTTTCTTGATTAAACAACAGAAACAGCTTCTCTGTGCTCACTGCCGCGCTCAGCTGGTTTGGAGTGTGTCCAGTGTCACATGTCCAGCGGTCACATTGAGATTTAATTAACATTTGATTGTGTTTGATTTCCAGTGTCACAAAAACTACATCCCCGTGTGCGGCTCCAATGGAGACACCTACCAGAACGAGTGCTACAGGCGACAGGCGTCCTGCAAACAGCAGAGACTGATCTCCCGGGTGTCAGATGGGCCCTGCTCCGCCGGTGAGTCTGCCAGGAAACACACAGGGTCAGCGCAATGGAAACCTGATTGAGTGAGGGCACGGGGAGTTCACCAAAAAGTGAATTACAACTCCTCATTTATTGATATCGACCAGTGGGAGAGTATGTGAGGACATCAGTCAGTGTCTGTAAAGGACTCAGTCATTTAAAATGTTCTTAAAGTGTCGTCTGAGGAAATAATTCAGCTGCTGCCTCGTAAAGACGGACACATCTCGTCTTTATTTGGTCCGAGCAGTCATGTTGGAATGACAGCTTGCTCTCCCACCAAATGATGGAGGGCTAATTATGAAGTGAAACTGTTGAGATAATGTTTTTGATCAGGCACCAGTTAGATGGCTTGCATGCTGTTACTAAAGGGTCAGTTCATCCAAATGACTAAAAAGGAAAAAAGGGTAATTTAAATTTTCTTGGAATTGGACTCAGAATCAGCTTTATTGGCTAAGTATGTGAACACATGCAAGGAATTTGACTCATTGCTCTCATTCGCCAATACCTTCCTTAGATTTTTCTTAAATGTGTTCTTAAAAAAAGTCTCAGTCAGATTCACAATATGTTCATAAACAGCAAAATTGTTTGCTCCATGTTTTATGAATGACTAGTCCATACCCATTGAGTACAGCATACCATACCATGACTTA